TGCTCATCCCAGAGACTGAATTACCAGGAATAAGCTGGCACATTTTATGGTCCTGCGCACACTTCACCCAGCTTGGAGTCCAGGGGTGGGGGACACTGGATTCTGGCCACTGACTAGCCCCAGAACCTACAAGCCTAAAATGAGAATGGGTGGGGGGTGTCCAGGCCCCCCTGTTGGGGCAGGTGTGTTTGGACGAGGACATGGTGCCCTGGCCAGGGTGTCCCAAAATAACTCAGGTGGCCAGAATGGAGCGGATCCTCCATGGAAAATTTAAATTAATTCCTCATGGGTGTGAGGTCCAGGTTCTGACAGGGCCCATCCAGACCTGCAGCAGCCCGAAGACGTGCTGGAAGCCCAGGGAGCCACACACATCTCCGGGCTCCCTCGTGAACCAGAGCTTATGCTGAGCCTGGAGAGGGCTGAGCCCAGTGCCAACTCCTCAGGGGTCCAGGGGGCACAGCAGGAAGGGCCGCCCTTCACCGGGGCCAGCACTTGAGGGTGGCTCAGGGCTCGCTGTGGCCTTTATTTAAGTCCTCAAACAGTCCTGGGAGGCCGGACTGTCTTTAGCATCAACCTACCCATGTACCTGGGGAAACTGAGGCTCAATAGTCACCTCCCTGTGGGAGGACACAAACAGGTGGGAGCCGGTGCGCCGAGACACCGGACAGTGACAACTCAGGGGACTAAAGATGGAGGAAGCCCTGAGTGGATGGACGAGGAGGGCTGTGCTACAGGGACGGGGGCGGGGAGGGAGAGGAGGAGGTGAGTGGTGAGTGAGGGAGGGCAGCGTCGATGGAAGGAACTGAGGCTTGGCTTGGACCAGTCCACAGGGCCGACCTTGGCCAAAGGGTGGCTGGGAAAGGGGAGGAGAGGGACTTCTGAGACAAAGCCAGTAAGGTGAAAGGACAGCATGGCTCAGGGCCGCCCACAGACTAGGGCTCCTCAAACCTGTCCCCTTGCAGCAGAAGGTGACCCTGGGGAAGGAGGCAGAGGCTGAGGCTGCTTCCAGAGGATACAGAGCAGCCAGAACAGCCCCAGGGACTCCTGTCCCCACCCTGCACTTGCTCACTCAACTGGAGGCCGGGCCTGGAGAATTTCCTCCGGAAGGAAAGAGCCTGGGGTCTTCAGAAGAACTAACTTGGGCTCCAGAGTCACGGCCCACTCCACTAAGCCCTGGTCACCAGAGGCCTGCATTGCATCTAACCCCAGACACCGCCTGCAGGAAGTTCTGCTGTCATCCCCGCCATTCTGAGGAGGTGAGGACTGAGCCCCTTGTCCAGGGCACGGCTGGCCACAGCTAGAGTTGTTGCCAAATCTTTCCAATTCCAGGTGACCTTGAGCAAGTCATGGGACTGCCCAAGCCTCGCTTTCTCCGTGGCCACAGCAAGGATTGGGAGGGAGTGGTGGATCGGGGGCCCTCAAGGACCCGGCCCAGCGCTTGTCTTTCATTAGTCACCTCACCTCTTCCCAGCCAGGCAGCAGACCCGCCCGGCCCCTGACTTCCTGAGGGCCCAGCACTGACTCTACGGCCCTCAGCCCCTCTGGCCCTGTAGGGCAGGAGCTCAGGAGAACAGGGGCCCCAGCAAGGGCAAGAGGGAGCAGGCATGGGAACACAGATTCACTTCATCCTCCTGCCCAACCAGCTGGATCCTCCCCCTACCCCGGGGACCCACTGGGGACTTGGGGTTTTCATGCATCTGATTAGCATAAATTAGCAGCTGCCAGCAGGCGGAGGAATGCGGCCTTCCAGCGCCTGATCTTGTTTTTGGAAACCTTATCAAGTCCTGCTGAAGTCTCGCCTTGTTCCCCAGCACTGGATGGAGGGGAGGTGTTTGTGTACCCAGCAGAGGCCCAGCCCAGCCCCTGGTGAGCCCACGGGCCATGGGCCCCAGATCCAGCTCCAAGGACAACACAGGAAGGATCACAGTGTGGGGGAGCCCAGAGCTAGGCTCCAGCCCCTCGTACCCCTCAGTGGGGTTCCCTCTCACTGAGAGGCCTCTGTCCAGGTGATGGGGAGCAGGGAAGGGCCGAATGCTCTCCTCCAGGTTCCCAGCTGGGGACCCTTGTCATCTGGAGCTTCCAGGCTGGTGCTGCGTCCACAGAGGCTTCTAACCGGGCAGCTCTGTCCGGCTCCTGGGGAATAAAAGCTGGTCTACCCCCATTTCCCAAGGGAAGTCCCTTCCACAGGTCCACTATGCCAGGCCCCAGGCTGGGTGCCTTCCCTGCCATCCAAGGATCTCATGGGGATACCGGACAGGGATCCCCTTCATCTGCCAAACAGCACATCCTCCTTTCAGCGTGGAATCAGCATGGAAACAGTTTCAGAACCAGACAAGGGCAAATCCCAGAGCCACTGCTCACCAGCCTCAGTGCTCTCACCTGTCCCATGGGATCATGGCTGTGAAAATTGAATGAATTAGTGCAGTAAGGTACTCAGAACAGCGCTGTACCCAAGCGGTTAGCTGATGCCAATTGCCCTAACACCTTCCCAACCACACAGGCATACAACTGACCTACATCCAGACCATTGGAACGTGTCATCTCCAGGTGGCCACTGTGATTGGCTCAGGAATAGACAAAGCCAGCCAATTAGACTCTTCCCCTGGGATTTTACACTGGGTTATTGATGGAGAAACTCTCTCTTTCCCTGGGGTGTCTGAGCTGAGAAGAGATAAGCACAATGATGCCTCCTGTCCTCAGTACAGGACAGGTGGCCCTGCCCTCCTGTCCTCACCCACTGTCCTCAGCCCTTCTGCAGTGGGACAAAGTGAGGCCACCACTCAGAGACAAAAGAGCCAAGAGGGTTGAGAGTTAGACTGAGAAAGGGAGACAAAGTGTGATGAGGGAGATAATGGATAGGGAAGGCTCTGCCGTCACTGCCATCCCTGAGACCAGCTCTTGTCCTCAGGCCGCCATGCGGTGAGCTCGGACATTCCCTCTCATCGTTAAAATCCTGAGTAACCCAAGGGTCACGATCTCTGTGGTGCATAAGAGGAAACTGAGGCTCAGAGAGGTGGAGCAATCCACCCCCAGAGGCAGAGCTGGCGGCGGCAGAGCCGAAGGCAGGCCGCCTGACCTTGGAGAACAAACACGAACGAGGTCCTGGAGGTCCCTTGTCTCCCTGCCCTGCTGAGACCGCACATCTGCCCTTAGCATGGATGGTGACCTAAAGAAGAGAGGACCTGGCTTTGGACTCCAGCCCTGCCAGTCTGCCTTTGTGATCCTAGAGCCAGCAATTCTGTTCTGATTCCAGTTTGCTCCTCTGTAAAGTGGGGGTGATATCCCTTATTTTATGTTGGCCTATAACAAAAGCACACAATGAAAGCACTCAGTGCACACGTAGTACCCAGTAAAGATCCGCTTTTCCAGTCCCCAAAATAAGCATCTCCACCCTCCAGGAAGGGTCACCTGACTTCAAGCCCTTTGCAGGAGCATCTTCTCCTGAATCCTCAAGGCAGCAATGGCAACCCCCTTTTTAGAGATGAGGAAACTGAGACTCAGAGTGGTTTGGCAACAGACCCCAGGTCATACAGTTTAATGGAACCTCACACACTTCCATCTAGTGGTCCAGAGTCCCTACCCCAGAGTTCTTTGCAGTCAGGGGCCAGGCGTGCAAGGAGAGCTGAGAGTTGGGTAAGAGGTGTGGGGCTGACCCGCTGAGCTTGAGCCCTGAACACCTGCCCTGCTGCTCCAGCCCCAGAGCTCAGCCCTCCACACTTCCTGCAGGCCCTGCCCAGACGCTGAGTCCCAAACCGAGAGCTCCCCCTGCTGGCCATGCAAGAAAACCCATCCCAGGCGCCTGATGCACCTGAGGAAGGGGACCACTGCAGACAGGAGGCTTTGACCTCAGACTCCATGTGACTTTGGGCAAGTGGCTCTACCTCTCTGAGCTTGGGGGTAAGAACAGTGACATAAATGAGATAATCCAAAGTGCCTGGCATAACACCCAGTCCTGTGGTTCTCCACCATGACTACATCCTAGTCCCCAGAGAGAGGGCCCCAGAGCTTCCAATTGGGTCAATACCTGGAAAAGCCTGGGAATCTGCATTTCTAACAAGTTCCCAGACCAATAAGCAAATGAACGGTGCCCAACTTCACTAACAATTGGGGAAATGCAAATTTTAAAACATAATGAAACCTGTTGTGGTGGCCCACGCTTGTAATCCCAACTCTTGGGAGGCTGAAGCAGGAGGATCGCAGAGAGTTCAAGGCCAGCCTGGTCTACATAGTAAGACCCTGTCGCAGAAAACAAGACAAACAAACAACAAACACAATGAGAGCTACCTCACACGTTAGGGTGGCCAGTGTGTACATACGTATATGTGGGTGTGTTTGTTTTATAAGGGAGCTAAAAAATAATAAATGTGGGTGGAGCTGTAGAGAAATTGGAAGACTTGTGCACTGCTGGCAGGATGTAAAATGGTGCAGCCCATGTGGAAGACAGCATGGCAGTTCCCCCAGAAATCAAACATAAAAGTGCCAGGTGATCCAGCAGTCGCATTTCTGAGGATGTACCCTGAAGGACTGAAGGCAGGAACTTGAACTGATATTTGTTCGACCCGCATGTACACAGCAGCATTATTCACAGTAGCTCCAAAGGCGCAAGCAACTCAGATGTCCATCAAGGGAAGGAAGGGTCAGCAGAGTGTGGTGTAGACATACAGGAAGTATTCTCTCTCTGGCCTTAAAAATAAAGGAAATTCTGACACACACAACATAGTTGAGTCTCTTTTTTTGGGGTGGGGGGGGACAGAGTCTTACTGCATAGTTCAGGCTGGCCTTGAACTCACTGTGTAGCCCAGGCTGGCCTTGAACTCACTGTGTAGCCCAGGCTGGCCTCGAACTCAAGGCAATCCTCCTGCCTCAGCCTCCCAAGTGCTGGGATTACAGGTGGGTGCCACCACCCTGCTTGTAGTTAAGTCTTGAGGCGGCTATGCTATGTGAAATAAGCCAGACACAAAAGGACAAATATTGTATCTTTTTACTCATCTGAGGTCCCTACGGTAGTCAAAGGCATAAAGACAGAAGTTGGGTGACAGCTGCCAGGGGTGAGAGGGAGAGGGGAGTTCCCATTTGATGGGGACACAGTCTGAGTTTGGGAAGATGAAGAATTTCAAAATGGATGGTGGTGATGGTCTCCCAGCACACTGAAAAGACTTCATACTGCTGAACTGGACAGCAAAGAGAGAAAATGGTAACTGTTACTATGACTTGAAAAGAAAACGAGTAAGGAGCATTTGAGACAGGACTTGCAGGATGGGCCTTTCTCCAAAGAAGGGAAAGGCGCAGCGTGGGTCCAGCCTGGGTGCCCGGTCCCAAGGGAGCCCCGGGAGGGGCGGGCGGAGGCCTGAGAGGCAGCAGTGCCGGTCCCCGGGGTCTCGCGACACTCAGTCCCCTCTCCCACATGCCACTCAGCTCACAGAGACACGGGCCTGCACGCACTCCCCAGACAGAGGATCTGAAAAACAAGGGGAAGACCCCAGCCGGGCGGGGCCTGGGCTCCTCTGAGGACAGATGTTGGGGCCATCGCGCATCCCAGACGATGGAGCAGCCTAGCGTCCACCCGGCCCCCAAAACGAAGGGAAACTGCCGCCTGCCCCGCCCCATCCCACCACCTGCAGCCGCCCAGCTCAGCAGACAACGGGACAGAGCATTGTAGCAGTGTTCCGGATAACCCACAAGGGGGCGCTGTGCACCCAGGAACCCAGCGAATCTGCTCTGGAAAAGGAGGAACAGAGTGAGGGCAGAGGTCCTAAGGCACCTCGCTGGACAGGGCCTCCGAGGTCACAGTGAAAGCTGCCCGTGGTCAGGGTGCAAAACATCCTGGGTTATGCATTCCAATTGAATAGGGCTGTGCTCGCTCCGGCAGCACATATACCAAGTGAATGGAGCTTAGATGGGTTGGGGATTTAGCTCAGTGGCACCGTGCCTGCCTCACAGGCAGGGTAAGGTCCTGAGTTTAATCCCTGGTACCAAACAAAAAAAAAGAAGAAAAAAAGAAAGGGGCTTAGAATCGGGGACCTGTTCACAGAGGCAAGGCCAAGAGACGCCTGCCCACTGTTGCAGCAGAGCTGGGCGGAGCAGGGATGGAGCCCTGATGCTCACAGGTCCCCAGCTCACCTGCACGCTCTTCTCCAGATCCGCAGAGTGCTCGGCCTGGGTGGATACCAGGGGTCAAGCAAAATGGAGCCGTGTGGAGGTGCTGCCGCATTCACAGGGACGCGGACATGGCAACACGAGGAGCCAGGGGTTGTCTTCATTTCCCCTGAACAGGTAAAGGCCCCGGGGTGGACCTAGGGAGCCCCTCTGCTCCCCCAGGAGGCACATCGGGGGACAGGGATCGGCCAGGCGGCTGGGTCAGGCCCAAAGGCCAGCAGGGCACCACGGACAGGGAGCTGCGGCCAGGAGGGAGCTAGGGTCAGCAGCCCACGGGGGCCTGCTGAGGCTGGACTAGCCGATGGGTCCTTGGTGCCTTTCTGGGGCAGTTGGGACCCGGGGAGGACCCTACACTCTGCCTCAGTTGCTCCACCCCGCCATCCTGCCACACACCCCGGAGTTGAGCAGGACACTATTAAGGATTCATTCCTTTGGATCTGAAGACTCGAAGGAGCTCCGCAGGTGATGGGGCCAGCACCCCAATGAGACACACGGCCTTGTGAAATGCCCCAGAAGACACTGTCAAGGCCTACATGCCTTGAACACGTTACCCGCAAGCAGGAAGTAGGAAAGGGAGAGGAACTCACCCTGGAAGATGTGAATTGCAGGGGGCACTGTGCTGAGCCATCAGATCTGCAGTCCCATGACAGGAGCCACTGTCCTCAAGTGGAGAACAGCCCTTCAAAGAGATAAGTCGCACGGCAGGGCTGGGATGGGAACCCGCTCTGTGCCCTGAAGTATCCATCTGCTGACTGGCTGTGTGACCCGCGCAGCCCCTGCCTCTCCGGCCTCCTACACACTGTGACAATTGCCACACTCAGCCTCAAGTGACCCCACCGAATTCAGCCCTGGGACACTACAGGGAGCAGCAGAGGGTGTGCTCGGGGGGAGACTGCAGGTTCGGCCCCAGCCCCCGCCCTTGCCCCTGATCTTGGGCCAGCTTCACGCCCTGCACAGCGCGGCAGACCTTTCCTGAGGCTGGCGCGAGGATGAACCGAGTTCTGGGGGCAGCAGGGGGACAGGCCGTGCCGTCACACAGTGAGTGGGGCTATTGTGAGTGTCCCCAGAGGGACAGGAAGTGGGGCTGGCTGGCTCCTGGGGAGCTGAGCGAGGAGACAGAGTAGGAAAGCGTCTCCAGCCCATTAGCACCAATAGCATCCCAGAAAGGAATCTGCACAGCCCAAGGCTCTGCGATTTTGGCCCTGGAGTGATCCCAGGACCTGGGCAGATACCCTAGCCCATCACTTCCTAGTCACTTCCACCCCACTAAGGCCTGCAGTGAGGGCCTGGGACAAAGGGCCTCCACCACCAGGACATGACCGCTGACCCCAGCTTCCACTGCCAGGGCGGTGAGGGGCCCAGGCGGCCAGCTGAGATCAGAGGCAGTGGGGCAGAGGCCATGACTGCCTGGGGGCCAGAGGGCTCTGGACATGGGGCAGCAGGAAGGGCACAGCGGGGTGATCAGATCAAAGGCTCCCAGACCCCTCTCAGGAGTCAGAGGGTATTTTTTAAAATAACCAAATAAAGCATTCAAAGCCCTCTAGCAGATTCTCCTCAGGCACAGCTCCAGTCTGTTTCCCAGACCCACAGTGCCCCATGGCAGCTCTTCTTCTCCCCAGTCCTCCCTCTAGAACTTTCCTCCAAGATGACCACTTCCCTAGTCCCTTGGGCCACGCAGGCTTTGCTCTAGAGATGGCCCCTGGCCCCTGACCTTTGATCCTTCTGCCACTCTCTCATCCCCTCTCCAGCCCGCTCCATTTAGGCTTCTGTTCTTGCCCTGGCTACTCTCGTCAAGGTCACCCAGGACCTGCCCGCCTCCTGGTTGATGGCCAAGTCCTAGCCCTTGGGGTAGGTGGGCCGGTCAGCGCATATGAAACCAGGAGCTCCTTACTCCTCTTGACACCCGTGGCATCTCTCTGGCACTCTTCCTGTTTCCTGGCTCCTCGTGGGCCCCTCCGCTGATGACCCCTGCAGGCTCAGGCTTGATCCTCCCTGCCCCCTCCCTCCCTGTCCTTCCGAGGGACCCAGGCAGCCCAGGCTATATCCACACACCTCACCCACCCTCTCCCCAGCACCCTAGATTTCCATGCAACCTCACTGCCAGCTGCCCATATGACTGAGGTGCGGGCGTCTCAAAGCCTCCCTGCCCGCACCTTCTCTGGGGGACCCAGCTCTGAGAGCAATTGCATCCCTCCCCGAGGTCCCCCTCTGTCTTCCGTCTTCCCGATATTCCACATTTGCAGATCCTGCCGCCTGTACCCTCAAAGTGCATCCAGAGCCCGATCATTCCTGCCACACCCGCCATCACCACCCTGGATTTCTACCCGTGCCTCCCAACTGCCTCCCTGCTTCCTCCTCATCCCCTCCCTCGGGGCAGAGGCCAGCATGCGGCCTCCACAACAGCACAGCTGCCCTCCTGCCTCTGACCTCCTCCCAGTCCCCCGGCTCCTTCCTGCAGCCACGGGGGTCTGGAACATTCCAGAACATTCCAAGCTTGGACTTTTGCATCTGCTGTCAAAATACTCGCTTGGCCACCTTCCTGTATAGCCCACGCCCTCCCGTCCTCTGGGTCTTCACCGAAACATCACCACCTCAGAGAAACCCTCCCTGGCCACCCGCAAGAAAGAAAACCACCCCCACTAACACGCCCCATCTCTTCCCCTGCTTCGTCTTCTGCACAACGTTTATCGCCACCAGCACCCTCTTCCCGGCTGCCGCCCCGCAAGGATTGAGCACCAAGGAACAGGGCCTTGTCGGCCTTCTTCAGCACCCAGCACACCGTAGGGCTCCAGAAATGACTGCTGGGCCTGGGCAGAATGCTGAAGGGGAAGCGTGAGGCTGGAAGAGATGTTCTGGGTCATAGGGAACACGGCAAGAGCAGCAGTGTGAGGAGGAGAAGGAGGCGGACCTGAGGCCAGACCTGGGGGCTGGGCAAGGGGCTTGGCCATGCAGTTCCTTCATTCAGTCAGTCAGTAGCCCATAAGGCCTGTGACAAGCCCAGCCTCGGCCCATCTAGCTAGGGCACCCACACATCAGGGTTAAAAGAGAAGACTTAGTCCTGAAGGAACTAGGGAGCCACAGAGAGAAAGGGCAGCACCTCTCACTGCTGGTCACTGTGGAGCCCCAGCGTGTCCTTGCGCCTCCCTCTGCCCCTAGGGGCCCTGCTACCCCACTCACTGCCTTCATTCCAGGGCAGCCCTTTGGAGGTCTCGAGAAAGCTCACCCCTGAGTCCCCACAGGAGCCGGCCTGTGCATTTGTGACCTACAGCACGAAAGTCCCACGGCCCGGGTGGGACATTCGAACCTTAGCTGCGAGAATCTCAGAGAATCGAACCCACTCACTTTCAGGTGGGGCAACTGAGATGTGCAAGAAAAAGGACTTATTCAAGGTCATCCTGTGTATCATTTACAGCTCTTTGTTTGTAATTGACAAGCACCCAATTCAAACAGACTTGTTTTAAAAGAAAGAAGGATGTGGCTCACATAACCAGGACAATGAAGAGTAACCCTCAGGTACAGCTGGATCCAGGCTCCGCATGATGGCTGGCTCAACTTGGAACAAATGCCACCTCCGAATAATGGCTTGGCCGGTGGCCTACAGACATCTCAAAGGCAGCTGCTAGGTCTAACATGCTCACCCCTGGAACCGGGCTGGGAGGAGTTGTGCCAACGCCATATGCCACCCCAGGTCAGAGAAAGGGGCAGATGTGACCCCAAATAAAAAGCAGAGTGCTGATCTGAGGGACGGACCCTAGACAGTCAGCAACAGACCTCAAACCAAGCCCAGCACCATCCCAATTTAGCACATCCTCATGGAGGACAGCCTGGGTCCGGGAGGGTGGGTATAGGATCAGGGACAGGGGAGCAGTAAGAAGGTCACCTAGACAAGAGGTAATGAGCCCCCGACAGAGGCTAATCCATCTCCCAGCCCCTCTCACACGCTTCACGGCAGCATTTTGCTGAGGGAAACATCTGTCACTTCTCCAAGATGAATAACACACCAACACCATTATTAATGTATTTCTAAGTGGTGTTTAGAATCCACTTCATCTTAAATAAAGCGACATAGATTTTTGCTGACTTGTTTAGCCCCCAGACGCCTGGCACCACATGGCTGCTTCTAAATGGTATGACATCAGGGCCCCCTCTGCCCCTGCCCCATCTCAGCATATGTCACGGACGCTGACAAACACCAGGAGACCATGACCCCGGTGAGACAAACCTAGTAGAGGACAGAGGGGAGCGACTGTATCCGCTGCTGGTGGAAGCACTGGTGCTATTTTTTTCTGGGAAGTCATTTAGCGGGTATTTTTATAGCCTAAAGAGGTCTCTGTTCTTTGACCTAATCATCGCATCTCAAGGAAGACTTCAGCAAGATAAAACCAGATATGTGAAAAAAAGTTTGAGTGCCAAAGATGTTCGTCATGGCATTGTTTACAATACTGAGAAGCTGGAAAAAAATGTCCAACCAAAGGAGAAGATAAGCAGATGAAGTAAGGCAGTCTGGCCTGCTCAGTGGCACATTCTCTATCTGATCAAATGTGGTGCCTACGAAGTTTTCTGTCTTGAGATCATTTGATTAAGTGGGGGGGATAAAGCCGACGCTTCAGGAAATTCAAACCAAAAAGAGGTCATTTTAAGCATCCAAGGAATTTCCCAGAATTCAACAGCCACAAGCATAGACCCTGCCCTGGACTCAGGTGCCATCTCTGCCTCTTTGTCCCAGCTTCTATCTAATGGGATTTTTCTCTCTGCAGACAAGCCTAGCTGCCCCATGCCAGAGCTGACCTACCATTCCAGCTCAATTGCACATTTTTTTTTTAATGAGACAGGGTCTCACTATGTAGTTGAGACTGACCTGGAACTCACTGTGTAGCCCAGGCTGGTCTCGAACTCACAGCAAGATCCTCCTGCCTCATCCTCCTGAGTGCTGGGATTACAGGATGTGCCATCACGCCAGGCTCAGTTGCACTTTGACTTGATTCAGCCTTCTTCTGTTGGAAGAAAATGAGAGAAACAGGAAGAGAAGAAGAAGAAAAAAAAAAAAAGAATTACTAGGAGAGATAATTTAATAGGCTCAATTGGAGTCAGGTGATTTCCCTGGTCCAATCAGCTATACTAAAGCTGAGGGCTACCCATAGTGCATCAGGCTCCCATTGGGTTGTGTGGGATGAGGCAGGAGGAAGTGACTGGTACCTCAGATACTAGTACACAGTCACAGTGAGCATTAGTTACCTGTTGCTGTGTAACAAATTAGCCCCAACACTTCTTGGTTTAAAATGGCACTTGCCTCAGACAAAGGTCTACTATCTAGAATATATAAAGAACTAAAAAAAAAATCAGGCCCCCCAAATATAAAACCCAACTCAAAAATGGGCATCTGAAATGAACAGACATTTCTCAGACAAAGAAGTAAAAGCAGCAAATAATCATATGAAAAAGTGTTCAATATCACTGGTCATTTGAGAGATGCAGATGAAAACAACGCTGAGATTCTACCTCACCTCAGAAAGAATGGCTGCTATCAAGAAATCAACCAATAACAAATGTTGGCAGGGTTGTGGGGAGAAAGGAACCCTTCTTCGTTGTTGGTGGGAGTGCAGACTGGTGCAACCACTGTGGAAATCAATATGGAGACACCTCAAACAACTAGGACTAGAGACCCCATTTGACCCAGCTATTCCTCTGCTGGGTATCTGTTTGGTGAGGAAAAGGGACACAGAGCAACAGGAATAAATTGTGATACCAGTTATGCAAACAAAGGAAGCTAGACACAAAAGTCTACACTCTGTGCAGTTTCATTTATTTAAACACCTAGAAAAGCGGGGCGATCTATAATGACAAAAAAGAGATCAGTGTTTGCCTGGGGACAATAGTGGAAGGAAAGATGCGTGGCCTTAGGGAATGAGAAATCTGGGAGATGATGAAAATGTGGGGTGCATCTGTTGTGGGGTGCTTTTGCTGCTGTGTGCGTCCATCTGCCCAGATTCACCGGGTCAGCTACTTGAAATATGACAGATGTGTACAACACCCATTACGTATGCACCGTGTAGTTTGAGTTGCATCTTAGAAACCCTAGCATACAATCCCCTATTTGAATGCTGTTGTGGGCAGTGGCCAAGCTAAAGACCCCTGGCTCCTGGGTCTGCTCGGATGACCCGCTTGTAATTGGCACACGGGCAGGCTGGACCGGTGCTGCCCAAGAGCCACCTGCTTAGCAGCTTTTGACCCTGCTCCTTTCTGACTCTGGAAACTTTCTTCCAGCATTTACCAAGGTGGCCAACGAGTGAACGGCAGAACCAGGACTGAAGCCCAGGTTTCCTTCCTCCCAGGCCGGTTCTCCTTCCCCATGGTGCATGAAGAAATAGAAACCGAGGCTTGTGGGGTGCTTTGTGATCCTCCAAGCTGCTTGACATCTGTAATCTCATTTCCCGGGTTAATCCCATTTAACACAGCTAAGTGTGTAATGGATAAGACCAGGCTGGGAGAATATACAGCTTGCTTATTGGTGGCAGGCACCGTGTTGATGGCTTGGGGCCCAGGCCAGGCCAACTGTTAACTACCTTGACTAAGCCTCCAGGGGTAAGCATTCTGGGCTTTCGAGTCAAAGCAGATCTGGGCTGGAATCCAGGCACTACGCTTACTAGTGGGAGATCCTGACCAAGCCATTTAACCTTCCGGGGCTCAGTTTGCTCCTCTGTAAAATGGGCACCAGGGAAGCAATCTCCTCAGAGTGCTGCTGGAAAGGTTAAGTGGGACGGCATACTCTACCCATGGCAAGCACTCCAAGTCTTCAGTGATCTTCAGTGTCATTATCCCTACGAATCTTCGTAATAGTCACGAGCTGGGTCCCAGTCTTATCCCCATTTTAATAGGTGAAGGAACTGAGGGCCAGAGAGGCAAAACAGTTTGCCCAGGAACATACAGTAAACAAGTAGCAGAGAGAGGGTTTTACCCCAAGTCCCCTGTACAGCCGCACACCAAAGACTCGATCCGTGGTACCACACGACCTCCTGCTTGGGCAGTGGTGACAGATGCGACAGGGTTTCTGTGATGGGGAGTCATGACCAGGTCCCCTCCAGACCCACCCAGTCACCACGAGAACTGTACCTCTCTGCTCTGAACCCTGGGCTCTGCCACTGTGAAAACCAGGACAGTTCCAGAAGTGTGGCGACACCCACCTGTGATCACAGCACTTTTTTTTTGCAACAGCAAGGATCGAACTCAGGTCCTTGCACTTGTGGGGCAGACGGCAGAACCACTGAGCTAAATCCCCAGCCCAATCACAGCACTCTTGAGGCAGGAGGGTTGCAAGTTGCAGTCCAGCCTGGGCAACACAGTGATTTAGCAATAACTTGCCTCAAAATAAAAGAATAAAAAGAGGACTGGGGATATAGCTCAGTGCAAAGGCCCTGAGTTCAATTCCCAGTACTGGAAAAACAAAACACAAAAACACCTCAGCAAGAACTCAAGCCCTTCTGCATGCAACAGAGGACAGAATAGTGGTCACCTTGGGGTATCATCTGGGAGGCAACACAGAGGAGCCCTGAACCCAGGCAACAGCTGCACAGTCAGAACTCCTGTAAAATTCCACTAAACTGTACCTCTGAGACTGGCTCACCTCACTTTTGTACGTCACACCTTCATTTTTCTAAGCCCTGGAGTTTCCCCAAATATCCAAGCCTACGTATGGGCACATATGTGCACCCCTGCACGGGCTCCAACAGCACCTATCCAGCCCACAGTGCCCACAGGCAGCACTCACATGCAATGCGCCTTCCTGTGCTCAGGGCCAGTCACCTGAGCAACGCGGAGTCCCCACCTGGGCAGACACACCAGCTACAGGGGCACTGGGGACTTTAGCGGGAGCTCCAGAGAAAGATGGAAAGCAGAATGGTCAGCTCTGCTGACGTGGGGACTGACCAGCTCCCCAGCCAGGGCTTCCCAAGAGAGGAAGTGTTCGCCCCCTTGGCCTACACTGACTGGGCTGTTGGAGACTTCTCATTAGGACAGCAGGTTCCGTACAACCTACAGTGCCAGGGGACCTGGGGAGAGGAGAAGCTGGGGTCCTGGGAGACGCAGGGTCCTCCTGCCTGACTCTCTGTCCTTCTGGGTCAGAACTTAGCCAGATCAGTCATGGGGTCAGCTAATGAGTGCACCAGTCCCCAGGAGGCAGGATGGGGAGCCCCAGGGGGCAGGAACCTGCACCAAGCACACGGGGGTCATGGTGGCAGGATGCTGTGCTGGTTATACAGGTGAGCTTCAGAGCAGGAAACTCAACTTCATCCCCTGGCTCTGCTATTCATTCGCTGTGTGACCCCAGACAAGTTACTTGGGCTCCCTGGGTCTCTGTCTGTCCACCCAGTAAATGGAAATGATGATACCTATTAGAATAACATTACGCGGCAGGAAAACTAGGGGGAGGGAGCGGAATGACAAAGTCACACAGGCCCCTGAGCCGAGCAAGTACTCCACACTGTGAGTCATCTCGTCAAGCCCCAAGAGCCGAAGGCCTCTGCAGATACTGGGTGTCTCCAAGGGTGGCCCAGCGACAGCCCACGAGTCCCAGTGCAGCCCACAAATGGGCTTTGTTTGGCCCACACAGTGTCTCTCTTCTCTTTCTTCCCTTTTTAATTGTTGCCAACATTTGAAAATCAGATTTCACATACAAAATCCAAATTTTCTACTTCTCTCGAGAAGTTCAAAGATTTGGCAATCCTAGGCCTGCCTTCCTGCTTGGCAACTGCCAGCCAGCGCTGAGTGGCCTCGGCCCAGCTCACCCCAGCCTCTCAAGCTGCCTGGCCTGAGTGATGGCCTCTGCACCTGTGCCTTCCGATGCGCGTGGCTCCCGAGGAGGCAGGGCCTGCCCAACTCCATGGGCTACAGCAGGCCAGCGCACAGCTGCAGCTGGGACTAGGGTCACCTGCCTCCCATCTTCCTGAGCGATGAAAGCGCCTCCCTCTGCAGGCTGGCTGGGGAGAGGAGATGAGGACTTTTCCAGGCTTGGACCTTACTCCTCTGAGCCTCCGTGTCTCCATCTGTAAAATGGGATAATACCAGTCCCTCCTTGCTCCCACAGTTGTGAGGATAAACAGTTAAAATGTCAGTCAGCACGCAGTAGTCACTTGATGAGCCCTGCTGTCCTTATGGTCGTCAATAACAATAACCCCCGGCAGGCATGATGTGTGCACATTCATTCCTTACGCCAGCTCCAGTGACACTCCGCTCAGCCCCGGGTGACAGATAGGTAGACCGAGGCCCGGGGGAGGCAGTGCAACACCTGCAGCCAATGAGTTGTGGAGCCAGGGTTTCAGATTCCTGCTCAAGTTCAAACCAGGATTGTCTGGCACCAAAAAGCCTCTGCAAAGTCCACACAAAACCGTGGAGGACCTACTGTGTTCTGGACACTGTCGCAGGCACCGGGGACATGGCAGGGAGAGAGACAGTCAAGTCCGGGCCTGACGCGGCCCGCCATGGGATAGCAGATGGCATCCAAGTGGCTCATGCTCTGGCCCTAGCAGGTCCTGGGAGGGAAAACCGTGGAGGGGACTAGAAAGTGGCCAGAGGGAGCACAGTGGGGGCTGCAGTCAGTGTGGCTGCTCAGGGAGTGGATGTGAAACAGGAACCTGGAGGAAGAGGGGACCAGCCATGGGTCGACCGCACCAGGCGATGGAATCAAGGAGCCTAAGCAAAGGCTCCCTCAGAAAGAGCCTGGTGTCTCCCGGAGGGAAGGAAAGACAGGGCCATGGAGCAGCCGGAGGAGGCAGAGGAGAGGAAGTCAGACAGGCCAGCAGGGGCTGATGACCAAGCAGATGACCAAGCAACGGAGCCCCTGGATTGACAAGAACCAAGGTTTCCGCTCTTCATCCAGAACAAGCAGTGTGCTGAGCCCCAC